AAATCTTTATTGAAGGAAATGCCAAAGGTACATTCTTTATGTAATAATAGTTTATTGGCAACACCCCTTGTACATGGCAGCGTACAAAACCGCTGAATTACGTACACAGGTTTAAAAACAATTCAACAATAAGGTGAACTAAACAAGCAAAAGACATTGACAAACAAGGTACAAACATAAACTGGCTGTACACAGTTATAACTTAGATATAGATCAGAAGTATCTGCAAATGATTAAAAACTATATTGGTCCGGTACTGGGAGATTTCAACCTAGGTCTGCTTGTTTATTTAACAAATCAGTGAAATAGGGAATTGGACTCGTTTTGTACCGCTTTGTTTTCGTCAAGGGAATGTCGAGTTGGTTTGCCCCCTTCAGGCATCTGCCATGAATATCTGAGCGGGATGGGGGTAACCAACCAATGTCGGAACGTAGGGGAGTTAAGGAGGGACTTTGCAAACTTAAGACTGAGGGCTTCTCTTCTTTTCTCTAGGGACGGCAAACATAATTGGGACAGGGCGATGTTGTAAGACGTGTACAGGGGGCCAAGGATTATCTTGACTGCTCGTTTTTGTATGCGTTCAATTCTTATTACTTGATGTGCAGAGATACTTGAATTCCAAACTGGGGCCGCATATTCAAGGGTGGGACGTATGTATCCTTGGTAGAAATTACAGAGGTCTTGAACAGGGAGTCCGGAATGTTTCAGATGTGTAACTGCAATTATTTTCGGTGGGTCACTTTTATCATTTTCGGTGGGTCACTTTTATCATTTTCGGTGGGTCACTTCAATTATTTTTGGTGGGTCACTTTAATCATTTTAGGTGGATGACTTTTTTTGCGGTGGGTCACTGTAATTATTTCTGGTGGGTCACTTTAATTATTTTTTGTGGGTCACTTAAATTTTTTCGGTGGGTCAATTTACTTATTTCTGGTGGGTCACTTTCATTATTTTCGGTGGTTCAATTTTATTAGTTTCTGTAGGTCACTTTTCAGGGAATCATTTTAAATTTTTTTGGTTGGTCACTTTAATTTTTCTGTGGGTCACTTTTTTAGGTGCGTCACTTTCATCATTTTAGGTGGGTCACTATAATCATGTTTGGTGGGTCACTTTATAATTTTTGGTGGTTACTTGAATTATTTTCGGTCGGTCAATTTTGATGTTTTCGGTGGGTCACTCTACTTTTTTGTTGGGTCATTTTAATTATTTTTGGTGGGTCACTATAATTATTTTTGCTGGATCACTTTAATTACTTTTGGTTGGTCACCTTTATTATTTTAGATGGCTTTTATTATTTTAGATGGCTCACTAATTTTTTTGGTGGGTGACTTTAATTATTTTTCGGTGGGTCAGTTTTATTATTTTCGGTGGGTCACTTTAATTACGTTTGTTGGGTCACTTTTATTATTTTTGGGGGGTAACTCTAATTACATTTGGTTGGTCACTTTTATCATTTTAGGTGGGTTACTGTAATTATTTTTAGGTGGGTGACCTTAATTATTTTCGGTTGGGTCTATATCATAATTTTCGGTGGGTTACTTTATTTTCGGTGGGTCACTATAATTATTTTCGGTGGGTCACTTTAATTATTTTCAGTAGGTCACTTTTATTATTTTAGATGGCTTTTATTATTTTAGATGGGTCACTGTAATTTTTTTGGTGGGTGACTTTTATTATTTTAGGTGGGTAACTTTATTTTTGGAGGGTCAATTTAATCATTTTCGGTGGGTGACTTTTTTCAGGTGGGTGGCTTTTATCATTTTCGGTGGGCGACTTTAATTATTTTCGATGGGTCTTTTTTATCATTGTCGGTGGGTCACTTTTATTATTTTGGGTGGGTCACTTTTATTATTTTTTGTGGGTCACTGTACTATTTTCGGTGGGTCACTGTAATTAATTTTGGCTGGCCACTTCAATTTTTTTGGTGGGCCAATTTTATTTTTTGGAGGGTGACTTTTATTATTTTGGGTGGGTCACTTTTATCATTTTCGATGGGTCACTTTAATAGCCTCAGTTAGTCATATAGACTACCAAGTTGGGGTCAGGGATCACAAGTCATCACAAACTTTATATTTATAACACTAGTAAAGTAAATAAATAAAGAATGCACACAGTATATCTATGAAATATGTAGTGGTGTTTTAATCCATGCTATGAATATTACAGTTTAAAAAGATAGATGTGACTTGAAGCAAGAGAAGATCTGATGTAAAATGTGCAGAACAAACCAGACCCTCCCTGTACTTAAACTGAAATATAAAGAGAATAATGATGTGAGTCAGATCTAAATCTAAAAGCAGTTTTACAAATGTTCAAGTATTAGGAGTCGGTATTGGATACAACACTGACTTACATGATGAATCTTTGTATCTTACAGGTTGATTCAGCATAAGGATACCGGACGGTCAACATGGCTCCTGGAAAAGGCAGGGGTTTGGCCTGAATGACCAGAAGTATAGGGCAAGAACTCTGCAGAACTTAATATAGCTTTATAGTTTGTTTAAGGACTCTCTTCGTAGCTTTATAAGTATATCCTAAAACATCTGTGGTGTCAGGGTTG